GAGTAGGTAGCATAAAATATAATCATGAGCGTTTCCAGAACTGGAATACATGCAACTGTGGGCATCTATGTTTGGCATTCCTCATTCGGAGGTTATATAAAAATGAGCATTGATGATTTTTCATCAGTTGACCTTGAGAAATCATGAGTGATTCATTGACATTAACAGTCTCAGGAGCGTCATCAGTTTTGGAAGTGCAATATTTTCCCCCAATTGAACTTTCACCTGAGAAAAATTATGTTCTCGGCCGAGTGGAATTTCTGACTTTCAATTCCATCCCGAACGTCGATACGAGCAATAATAAATTACACATAGGAGACACAGTTATCACTATTCCAACGGGGAGTTATGAAATTGATGACATTGCGAAATTTATTGTGAAAAGTGTGGAAAAAAGTGATATTGCTATAAATATCAAAAGAAATAATAATACTCTGCGAAGTAAATTGTTTTGTAATAAAAAAGTGGACTTGAGACCTCGAAATTCGATAGGTCGACTTCTGGGTTTCACCCCTNTAATATAAAACATGAGCTCGTTTTAATCAGAGCTCGTACTGATAATAATGCTACGGTTCAAACAGATGCGGAAAATTTTAAAGTAACATTCAGCAAAATCGAATGGCTGGTCCCATATGTGACATTATCGGATACTAAAAAAATTGAGTTGCTGAATTTCATCCAGAAGGATCCTGCAATATCAATGAGCTCCAGATCGTGGGAGTTATATGAGTATCCAATGCTTCCAGAGACAACAAAACATGTGTGGACGGTGAAAACTGCAACGCAGCTCGAGAAGCCACGTTGTTATTCTGGGTTTTCAAACAGCATGAAAAAATAAGGATAAGAAAAATGCTAGCAATTTNGTGTAATATCACTACGAAAGCGTACAACAATAGTGATAAAGTTCATACAATTCATGAATTTTTTCCAGTGGTGCCACCTGGATATAAAACCATAGAAGTACCATCACAAGTTATTTATTTACCAGTGTCTGTCAGAACAATAGCTGAGTTACAGCTCCGAATTGTCGATCAAGACGGTGACTTGGTGAATTTTAGGGGTGAAAAAATCCCCATCAGGCTACACATCAAGACCATTTCGTAACCATGGGTATTGTATATAATCGCAAGATTGGCTATTCCTATAAAAATAACTAGCCATGGATCGCATCAATCAGTTTTCACGCTGGCTCCAAGGTGCTAACACCTCAGAACGTGAAATTCCTCAAGAGTCTCGGCCTGGACGTGAAAAAAAGTGGAAAAAACGTTTTTGTCAGATAAAAATTTTATTCACTTGTTGGATACCATGGAAGAAAGCCTGAATATCAGAACCCCACCGGTGTTTGAAGAATCCATCGCTCACTATGAGATTCATGCGCATCAGCCATATGCCTCCACAGGGCTTGATAATAGCGACGAAATTCGCATCACTGTGCAAAATCAGGAACTCTGTATTTTACCGAGCAAAAGTCATTTGCACATTACTGGTAAACTGCTAAAATCTGATAACACAAGGGTGACACTTACGAAATTTGTGAATAATGCCATCTGTCATCTATTTCAAGAGATTCGCTATGAAATTAATGCTATCGAGNTTGAATATCAGAACCTCGCCGGTGTTTGAAGAATCCATCGCTCACTATGAGATTCATGCGCATCAGCCATATGCCTCCACAGGGCTTGATAATAGCGACGAAATTCGCATCACTGTGCAAAATCAGGAACTCTGTATTTTACCGAGCAAAAGTCATTTGCACATTACTGGTAAACTGCTAAAATCTGATAACACAAGGGTGACACTTACGAAATTTGTGAATAATGCCATCTGTCATCTATTTCAAGAGATTCGCTATGAAATTAATGCTATCGAGATTGATAAAGTAAAAAATGTGGGTATAACTACTCTCATGAAAAATCTCGTTTCATTAACACCAAATCAAAGCCTCTGGATGGAAAATGCTGGCTGGCTGGGTGTTCAAGAGAAATTGAGTTTAGTCGACGATGGTGGCTGCTTCGATATTTCCATTCCATTGAGTATGCTGCTGGGATTTGCTGAAGATTATCGAAAAATTATAGCTAATATAAAACATGAGCTCGTTTTAATCAGAGCTCGTACTGATAATAATGCTACGGTTCAAACAGATGCGGAAAATTTTAAAGTAACATTCAGCAAAATCGAATGGCTGGTCCCATATGTGACATTATCGGATACTAAAAAAATTGAGTTGCTGAATTTCATCCAGAAGGATCCTGCAATATCAATGAGCTTCAGATCGTGGGAGTTATATGAGTATCCAATGCTTCCAGAGACAACAAAACATGTGTGGACGGTGAAAACTGCAACGCAGCTCGAGAAGCCACGTTATGTTATTCTGGGTTTTCAAACAGCANAAACATGTGTGGACGGTGAAAACTGCAACGCAGCTCGAGAAGCCACGTTGTTATTCTGGGTTTTCAAACAGCATGAAAAAATAAGGATAAGAAAAATGCTAGCAATTTTTACCATTGCAGTATTGCAGATGTTAAATTATTCCTAAATTCCCAATGTTATCCATATGGAAATATAAATGTAGATATAGCTAAGAATGAGTATTCTATACTTTATGATATGTATTCAAAATTTCAATCATCATATTATGATCAGCAAGTGAATAACCCTTTATTAAGTAAAG